AACCAATAGCCAGCATCATATTAAATGGCCAAAAAATGAACACCCTTACCTTAAAATCAGGCACAAGATAAAGATGTCCCTTTTTATCGCTCCTATTCAATATAGTACTGAAAATACTAGCCAGAGCAATTAGACAAGAAAGAGAAATAAAAGGGGTAAAAATAGGAAAAGAGGAAGATAAATTATCATTATTTACAGATGACATGATAGAAGACCCCCAAAATTCCAATGAAAGACTCCTAGATATAATAAATAAATTCAGTAATGTAGCTGGATACAAAATCAATACTCAAAAATCAATAGCATTTCTATACACTAACAATAAAATCACTGAGAGAGAAATAAAAGAAGCCACACCCTTCACACTAGCATCCAAAAGAATGAAATACTTAGGAATTAATCTAACAAAAGAAGCAAAAGACCTAATCGGGGAAAATTATAATACCCTGAAAAAGACATTGAAGATGATCTCAGAAAATGGAAAGATATCCCTTGTTCATGGATGGAAAGAATAAATATTGTGAAAATGGCTAATCTCCAAAACTGTTACAGATTCAACACAATCCCAATGAAAATACCATCAACATACCTCAGAGATCTAGAGAAATCACTCCTAAAATTCATCTGGAACCAGAAGAGACCCAGAATAGTAAAAGCAATAGCAGCAAAGGCAAGGCAGGAGGCATCACAATCCCTGACTTGAAGTTATACTACAAAGCTACTGTAATAAAATCAACATGGTGCTGGAATAAAAACAGATCTGAAAATCAATGGAATAGATTAGAAGACACAACCGCAACTAAAAACACACTCAACCACCTTATCTTTGATAAGGGGCCAAACTTGTTCACTGGAAGAAAAACAGTCTCTTTAATAAATGGTGCTGGAAAAACTGTCTCTTCATATGCCAAAAACTAAAACTAGACCCATGCCTATCACCATGTACTAAACTAAAATCTAAATGGGTCAAAGATCTGAATATTAAAACAGAAACACTAAATCTGTTAGAAGACAAGTTAGGCAAAAATCTTGAAGACATAGGAGTAGGCAGAGAATTCATGAACAGAAATCAAACCGCACGGGAAATACTTCCCAGAATCAATAACTGGGATCACCTCTTATTAAAAAGTTTCTGCATGTCAAAAGAAATCTCCAATATAGTGAAAAGAAGACCCACAAACTGGGAAAACATCTTAGTGAATTCTCCGTCAGACAAAGGACTTCTGTCTAAAACATATAAAGAATTTTAAAAAATCAGACCCCCAAAATTCAAAGATCCAATCCAAAAATGGGCATCTGAGATGAATACACAATTCTCAGATGAAGAAATACAAATGGCAAATAAATACATGAAAAAATGTTCATCATCAATACTCATTAGAGAAATGCAAATTAAAACCACACTGAGATTCCATCTCACTCCAGAAAGAATGGCCAGGATCAAGAAAACTACTAACAACAAATGCTGGAGAGGCTGTAGGGAAAGAGGAACTCTCTTGCACTGTTGGTGAGAGTGTAGACTAGTGCAACCACTGTGAAGGTCAGTCTGGAGATTCCTCAAAAAGCTGGGATGGAAAGTTCCAATCAACTGAGGTATTCCACTCCTTTGCATATTCCTAGAAGAACTGAAAACATCATACCACAGTGATATATGTGCACTCATGTATATAGCAACACAATTTGTAATAGCCAGATCTTGGAAACAACCTAAGTGTGTCCGTTAACTGAGGAATGGATAAAAGAGTTATGGTATTTTTATACAATGCAGTACTACTTGGCTATAAAGAGATCACATTGAGAGATTTATAAATAAATGGACGCAACTTGAGTCCATACTCATAAGTGAAATAAATCAAACTCACATGTATAATGCTGTATAATCTCCCTAGTGTAAGAAATGGTAACAGTACATAAGAGTTTATGGTAATCATGGTTTTCCATTATATTGCTTTGAAGCCTTATAATGTTTTCATTCATTAGTTGGAATGATTTTATCCTGGTTTGTTTGATTTTATTATCTGTGATGGTATGAACAACTATTTTGAAGAAAGCAAGACATTATAATAGCCAGTGCTGATTTAATATCATCTTGCTTTGAAGTCCTATCATGTTTCTATTCTTCTGTTTCCATTGGTTCTATTATGTCTTATCTTATTGGATTTTATGTGTGACAGTATAAACAAATTTTTTATGGACAATGAGATAGTCTAGTAACCATTGTTCATTTTCTGTTACTTGGTTCTGAATGCCCTGTAATACTTTCATTCTCTTGAATGGTTTTATACTATTTTGATATATTTGATACTATTGTATATGAAGGTACTCTCAACTATTTCAAAGAAAAAGACATCATAGTAGCTACTGTTATATTGGGTTGTCTTGTGGTAAAATACTGTGTTGCTTAAATTGTTCTTTTCTGATCTGCTTTGTTATGTCCTCTTCTGTTTTAATCTCTTTAAAATAAAAAAAAAATTTTTTAAATACCAATGCAAGCTGAAGACAGACAATAATGTATGCCTGTCACACAGCCCAGAAGAAACCACTGAAGTATCTATCTCAATGACTGGAAATAGAACAGAGGTTCCAGAAAGACACATATTTTTGTATTAATAGAAACACAAGTCATTCGCACAGAAGGCACAAACCAACAAATATTTACAGAACTTTGCAGTAGGCTAAGACTCGTACTTGAAATTATTTTTGAGCCTCACAGTATTTAAAGATGTTATTACCAGTTTTTTAGTTTGCCAAAACTCAAGGCTCTTGGCCAGGTAAAAATTTAAATTCAGATAAATCTAAACTGGATGAACTTGGCTTTAAAAACAATCACTCAAATACATTTGTTATTACTGAATGTTAAAGAAAAGGAAAAAAATATATGAAGCAAGGGGGAAAAAGTTATTTGGTATCAAAAGCAGAAGATCTCTGCAGGAAGGAAGACCAGGAACTGACATTGATAACCCACACCATAATCCACAAGACAGCAGATGGGAGAAGGAACACAAGACTCTTACAACACATTCAACTTTGAATTGCAACTCCAACTCGTTAGTTAACCCCAAACTAACATAACCTTTCTGGATCTTAGTTTCCTCATCTATGCAATGATGGCTGTTGGACAACATGAAGACTACATTTCCAAAATTCCTTCAGAATTTTCATAGCACTATCACATATATTATTTTCATTTCACTCAAATGAGCAGTAACTTTGTTTTATTTACTGCTGTAACCCTAAAATCTGGCTGATACAAAGTTGGCTCAAAACAGTAGTTGAATAAATACATAGATTTGGTCCTCACAATAAACCACTCAGGACTTCATACTTATACTTATTTTGTATTATCATACTTATACTTATTTTACATAAGGAGGAAACCAAGGTTCAAAGACTTTGGTTCCATAGCAAAGTGAGAGATCTACAATACAAATTCAAGTTATCAAATTACTAATTTAAATCTTTTCCAGGTCTAAATTTTGTTACATTTTAATCTACTTTTAAGCAGTCAAAAGACTAATGAATTCTTACTACTATCTTTCTGTGAAAAATAATTGGATAGTGTTACTGTAGAAAGCAATTAATGAATCATTACTTAGAAAACTTCTCTATAAAGAAAATCTAACATTCAATAATAGTGGAAATACAAGAGATAAAACCCAAGTTACATCCTCTGACTAAACCAATTTATACTTTCTATGTTTCAAAGTGACTTTATCTGTAATTATTTGCTGTTTTGCAGATGCTTGGTCCTAACTGCAAGGAATGCAAATCTATTTCTATAATTTAAGATTATTAGTATCCCTCGATGACCTAAGATTGAGAAACTTATTCCATCTCTCTCCCTCCCAGGGCCCAATTTAAAGCTTTAGGATCAATTAACTTACAGAGGAAAAGTCCTGACAAGGCAGCATACACTGAAACTATCTAGGCACAAAGCACAGAAACATATTTACCAGCATTGGGGCAAAGCTGTATTCTCAAGGACACTCCAAATCGTAAGACTGTCTTCAAGGAACATAGGAGTCAATGCTACAAATTTGAGAGCCTACATTTTGAGAAATCTTTATTGTACGTTGGATATTAAAAATCAAGGCTGCAAATTTTTCCAAACAAAATCCTTTCTTTAGGGGCCAGGGTTTACCTGAGCAGCACAAGTGCCTGCCTGGCAAGCACTGGATCATGAGTTTGATCCCAGGTACCCTCCCCACACACACAAAAATACTTTCTTTCAAAAATAATTTCTGGAGCACAACTTTTTCCTTTCATGTAACACTGCTAATTAAAAGGTTTTCAAATATAAGAAAAATCAAAGTCAGTATTAACTTCAATACATACAAAATGGCCCTCTGCCTCTCCCCTTAATCAAGTACAAAGGTATTTGTCAGAACTGTTTTATCATACGGGAAGCCATACATATTTGGTGTATAAGTGAGCAGTTTAGCATATTTCAACAGAAAACTGGCTTATTACAAAACTTATCAAAATATACTTTTCTTTTAAAAAAACAAACAAAAAACTGAATGTTCTCCACAATCTTATATTCTTTTGATTTTCTCCTCACTGTATAAGGACTTTTCCTAGGTAGATGCCAATGTTAGGAGAACAGTTAAACTGAAATTACAGTGAGGAAGAACAGTTACACCAAAACCAATTTCCATAACACCCAAATAAAGCAAGAGAATCTATAGAACAGAGTGAAAAAGGTATTTGTAAGCGGAATAAAAATTTGAAAAGTCACCTGTCTAAGCCCTGTATGCAAAAAGCTGACATACAGACAGATTGCACGTTTCCTCAAGACATTTCTATAAAAATCTCAAGACTAGGATTTAAAGCTTGTAATGCTTCCAGTTCTGTAATTTGGAAGTTATCATGTATTATAACAGACTGTTCTACTAATCTTTTAACTAACAACCCTCCCCCCTATACCAACGGTACTTTCTCTATCAGAATAAAGAATACGTCTAAAATTTTTCTATATAAATACAATGCAGCAATCTTACCTAGTAGCAAACTGAATGAGTGCATTTTGAAGAGCTTGCCTAATTTCAAGAAGAAAAGATTCATCATCACTTAGTGTATAATACCAATACTGGACATAATCTCTCAAGGAAAATTGGATAACCTGTAATACAAACATTGGAAAACATTATAACATTTTAAGATTTACATAAACAATGTAAATTCAAAGAAAAGATAAATACCTGCCAACTTTCATGTTTTCTTTTCATCCTTAATTATAATAGTAAATACTTGCCTTTGTTATAAAAACATCAACATGCTAAAAACTATTACAAATTTTTAAAAATTATTCTGGTATCCCAATTCATTCAATGCCCAACTCTTTTAAGCATTAAAACATTACCAAACTCCACCCAAATTCAGGTAAAGAAAGTTTAAAGAAAAAAATATTCAATTTTGTACATTTTTTTAAATAGCAAAAAGGTATATCTTAGTATTATCAAAAGAAATATACTTAACACATAATATATGAAATTCAAATACCACATACTGAAACTCACTTGCTGGAGAGGCTCATCAATTATATTGGCACCCGTCAACCTTCTATCAATCTTAATAGTCCTGGCTTCCCGTTTCATTTCTTCTAAACACTTAAAGAAAACCATAATATTTTACTGATGAGTTTCTTGATTTAAAAATCTGTTTTACTTCGAATTGAATACTCATTAAAACTTCCTTCACTATTCACAAGTAAATATAAAAATCACTTTTGAGGTTCTAATATAAACCAAGTATGATTTTTCAAGTTAACAAAACTACATACCTAGAAAACAAACATCTAAAACTATCTTCAAAAATGTAGTAAACATGATTTAGGATGTGGGGAAATTAAAAATGTACAGGTACACTGTTGCCATAGTTAAATGAAACTTGAAAAATGTTAAGTGAGTGTTTCAGGTGAGTCAAACTGGTAAGTCTCTTTAGTGGACACTATCCCTCTTCCACCTCTGATGGGATTCCAGACGGCACTGTCACACAGCAGGTGACAGCTCTTACTGTCACTGAGGATCTTATAGGGACGACAAAATGCAGAGGGGTGAGCCTGACATAGATGGTCCTAACCCTGTTTAGGCCTAAATTAATAAAGATGTTTGTGCCTTCACGTCTGAGTTTTAGATTAAATATTAGTACAAAAAAGTCAAACGTTCTGTAAGATTAAAAAGTTTATAAAGTAAAAAGGTCACAGTAACCTAAGGTTAATTAATTACTGAAGAAATAAAAATATATTTCATAAATTTATTATGGCCAAAGTATAGTATTTATAGTCTACAGTATGGTACAGCACACCACAGACTTTTCCAATCACTTACCACTCACTCAGTGATTCACCCAGAACAAATCCCAGTCCTGCAACCTCCATTTTTGGTATAGCTGCACCATTTTTATCTTTCAGGCTCTACTTTTTCTGTACTTTTCCTACATTCAGATATGCTTAGAAGCACAAATACCATTGTGTTACAATGGCCACTGAATTCAATACAGTAACATATTTGCAGTCTAGGAGAGATAATCTAGACCATACAGACTAAGTGTACAGTAGGTTATACCACCTAGGTTTTTGTATTTGCATTCAATCACACCCACACAGCAAGAAAATCACCAGTGATGTGTTTCTTAGAGCACATCAAAATGATGTATAAATATATATATAAAACATATAGTTCAAGGTACAACATAAAGCCTCTAAGATTTTCTTCATAAACATACTTTTGCAATAGCAAATTGAAATTATTTTATACCATCTAATAAATAATAGTTCATAAACATGTAAGATATAACCAGTCTTGACTATGATTTATTACTATTTAGAATCTTAATTCTTAATATATTGCCTGTTATGCTATACACTGCTCAAATAAAAGTACAATATAGATGTCTTAAGAAATGTTTCCCAAAAAAGGCCACTTTCTCAGAAAGGCTTGCAAGTAAACCCAAAGTAAACCCTATCTATTAACAAAAGTTCTTAAGAGAGGACAAAGTTTCAGATAATTAAACAAGTTCAAAGTATTACAAACCATTAGTATATCAATATTGAAGTCAGTAGGATACAGTGATTATAATGTAAGACAATACTGTAAGTAACTTACCTCTGCAACTCCTGTATCTTCAAATGTGACTATAAAGCCCTTCTATCATCAACAAGTCATTTTTGTTCTTTATATAAGACAAAACAATCCATCCCATAACAAGAATTAAAGGTGCTACATATCTGAAGCTCAATTCCAAATTTACTTATAAAATCTGATACTTTAAAAAAGCCATCATTCCAGATAATAAAAATCAGGCCTGAATTATTAAAACTGTACGTATTTCAAGGTGAAATTTTAAAACTATGTATTTTCTAAATATAATCAGAAAATCTCCCATAAATTTACAATAAACATTAGTGAATACCAGGGAAAATTGTCAAGCCATAATTCAGACGAACACATTACTACCTCTGCAAAATACTGAATGTTGAAGTTTCACATTCCTTTACACCACTTACCTTAGGAATCCCAGTTGATGTCGGAGGAAGAAATGAGTGTTCACACTGCTCTAGGTGCTTTTCTGAGTTTGTTTTCCCAAACAGGAGAGTTACCACTAAACCCCTACAAGAAAAATTAATTAGAGACATGAAAGTAATTTCTATAATTTTAGACAACTATTACCTGGTGTATTTTTCAGATTTTTGTAGCTTATTGTTCATTAAAAACTTCAGTCTGTAACTTTAGAAAAGCTAAATTGACAGATTTTGTGTATGTTCTGAAGTTTAAAACAACTAAAAATATTTTATACTTTATAGAATGTCTTTCAAAGTTCTAATCTACTTCATAATTTTTACACTTTAGAAAAATTAGCCCTCATTAAATAGTAAGCTGATAATGAGTATAACAACAAATGAAATCTAAATTTGTAGCTAAATCACTCAACTTTATAATTCTATTTAGTAACGGTGTTATTAAGGTAACACGTCACGGTACCTATTAGAATAAACAAAGGTTATAAGGAGAAAATGATCCAATTTATGTACTGTTTTAAAATAAAGCTGGAATTGAGAAAGTAAATATAAATGTATCTCCAAAGCTTAACTCATTTTTTAAAACAAAGAATTATGCACTGGTTTAGAACTGTACTCAGTAAACACTGACTAAATGTTATCACTATTTCCTATATATAAAATTTGCCAGTAAACTGAAGCCCTGGAAAGAAAAAAATTAAATTTTCATCTTACAATGAGGGCATACTAATCTTAAATGTTTAAAGACTTTAGTGGAAAAAAAAAAAAAAGAAAGTCAAAATATTAAATGTGGTCAGTGTCAACTACTAAAAGGAAGAAGATTCTCAAAGTCTGCTTTTTGCCATTACCTGCCATTTTACTTATCTTCAAATTCAAACACCATGAAAACACAGATAAAGTCAAACCAGTTCATTTAATTAATTCTGGAAATTTGGTTAAGAGGCTGACTTCAAAATCACAAATAAGTTTCCCCTATCTTTGATTTACCTGATCAATACTGAGATTAAAATTGGCCCTATCTTTCAGGTTTACCTGGCTATTAAGCATACTCACAAAAACAACAAAATACTTCAATGTTATCAGAAAACTGATAAAACATTAAACTTTCCCCACAATACCACAGCAGGAAGGCAATATAAGGCACAATTAGAAGTTACAGAATTCCTGATAAGTAGTTTCAGTTATGAGTTTTAAGCACAAAAAAAGGCTATGATAATACAACCCTAAAATATAACAATGCCATACTATAACCAAGATATGGTATTGACGGTACCTCACAATAAAAACAAAACATATTTTTATTTCTAAAAGTTTTCTTTACACTCAAAAATACGGGATTAATTTTGACTATAAATGTATACACTATCAAAAATTTAATGAATAAATTACAGAACTTAAAACTCAAATTTTGTTAGGGAAAAAAGAAGGGGAGGTTGGTCCACAGGAAAATACATAAAATTCCCCTGAAACTTTTTAAGAAAACAAAATCACCTTATTAAAAACATACCAAAAAACTCTCACCAAACTAAGGAAATTTAAATTAAATGCCCTTCTTTGACTTAAAAATGGTATTATAAAGGCTAGTTTTTCTTTAAATTCATAAAACATTAACTACTGTAAAGAGAAACAATCATTCTTGTTAGTAACTCAAAACAATTTTATTCAGGAAATTATGATTGTCATTGAACACAATTGTGTAATCTGGGAACGCTTAATTAATCCTCCTAAGATGAATTTCAGAGGTCTACTGGAAGTAGAAAAACCCTGATCATAGCAGTGAATTTCACTGAGATCAATATAGTCTTGAATGGAAGTCAGATCTATTTATGATTTAGCACAAACCTGGAATATCAGACCCCATCATACTGCAAAATATTAACTTCACCCTTTAATTGCCTACTTTATCTGAAGATGTTACAAAATTTTTAAGTATCCAAAAGATATTTTGAAATTATTTCTTCATCAATTACCAGATTCCAAAAAGGAGCAACAAAATTTTCCATGACTTTGAAATGGACTGATCACTCTTCTGGTTCCCAGATTGACATAGCATTTAATATAAGAGAAACAATTTCCCTCAGTTCCACCAGCCAACATCTCAGCTCCTATCTTCAACTCTAAAGCTGCCTCCCTTTCCAAAGCAGTTTTTCTTGCCAAGAATGTATTTAATTAGAAAAGTTAGAAGAACTCTCTCCTTTTCAGAGCAACATCTGAAAAAAAAAAAAAAAATCCCCTTCCAATCAATGAAAGCAGCTTTTACCCTGTTAAGAAAGGCACAGATTCGCAGCTATGCAGTCATGCTGTGCCCCTAATCTGTAACTGATGAGTGCAATTAGTCTGCTTGGTTGCAGAGCTTTAGGTTCTTCAATCATCTTCATCATCAAAAAAACAAGACACTCTGAACTCCATGTCAACTGAATCTTGTGGCTAAGTTGTTTGTTTCGGTATACTATATCCACATCATATCTATCAGTATCACATCATATTTTCATTATGAAAATACTGAATCTAACATAAAATACCAGAGTCTCTGACACAGCTGTTCAATTTAAGTAACTCATTTGTTCGACCATCAGTAGGTATACTTCTGATAAAATGACAAATATAACTCTCAAATCTGCATCCTGAAAGAGATGGTTAAGTAGTACATACACTCAAAAGCCACGCACTCAGTATCTTACACAAGTATCTCTCATGCCAGTGTGTATTAGATGCTACTGAATTCAGCTAAATCCTCTAAATCTGGATGTTCAGGATGACCCCATGTTTGAGGTCTCAAAAGACTTTCTTTCAAAAAAACTCATTAAGTGTGTCTCCATAACTAATCATGTAATACACATAAACACACAATAACAAAATACTTATCTCAGTTAAGCTATTTTGATTAGACCAGTCAAAAAACATTTCACTTTTCTATGTATTTTCTTATACTTTCTTATGGTTCAAATCTCATATCAAATGCTTTATATGAAGCTATAATAAAGTATCACTACAATCTCCTTTGTAAAGATTTATAAACTTAAGATAAAAATTGCAAACAAAAATAACCATGAAGAAAAAATAGCAAAATTAGGAATTTGCATTTTCCAGACCAAAGCAACATTTGTTAGGAGAAATAACATTATTATTTGAAGTCTCATCAATGAAACAAATCTCCTACAACACAACTAGTATGTTTCTCAAATCAATTTAATTCTTAGCACCCTAATGGATAAGAAGAGTTCAACTTTAAAATAGAAATGTCAACAAAATAAAGTTTTAAAATCTTAAATTTTCCATGTTATCACAAAAAAATTTGTATCTTTCAAAAATGAAATTTTATTTTTGAAGATGACCAGCCATATTTCTGGAACAAATGGGTATCTTAATCTCAACTGTTTTTAAATTTTGGTAAAAATAATTATTTTTTTTAAATTGCATTCATAAATAAATGACAGTCCCAATTACATACACACGGTCATTTTTTTCATTCTGAACAAGAAAATAATACATGAACTATAAAATTATCAGAGTATACTTACCCACCCACAAAGCAGAGGATATAAAATGCCAAATAAAATATTACAAAGGGTCCAAAGGTTATTAGAAAAAGGACAATGCCAAGGCTTCCCCATCCCCATATGGATAGACTGGCCTGAAATAAAGCAAATAAATAAATAAATAAATAAAAATAATTTTTCATGTTAGAGAAAAACCAACAAAACTTTTACACAGTTTTACATTCCTCTTTTTAAACTTATGCAGTACTATTTCAGTAAGTGTTGAACTATTATTAATGTAATATACTCTTGAAAATTCACCTACAAAAACAATACACAAGAGATTTGCAGAACATCAAAATAAAGGTCCAAGACAGTCATATAATTCTTATGTGAAAAGTTAGTATGAAAAGATGTCTATAAACATCTGCATATTTATAGTTATAAAAGTACATATAAAAGAATAAGAAACCTGCAATGTTTTACTTACTTAGAATTCATATTTCACTTTAAAATTACCTCTCAAAGAGCTACAGCATTAGGCCTTTCTTTAAGAAATTAACACTTCAAGGTAAGAAATCTATATCTCACTTAAAATTGTGGTGTTTTTATTTTACTCAAAGTGTGTGCAAAAGCTCATAAAACTGTAACTGCAAAAGTTCCAACTTTCAGTTACCAAACTTCACAAGTTCAAGACATCCCCCAAAATTAACATCTTTTTTTAAAAAACAAACTCTATTTCACACAAAATTATCCTGTTTTATCTAGTAAAATACTCCTTTTATTGAACTGGATGTTAGCAATTTAAGTCATTATGAATAAATGCATTGAATTCCACAAGTTTCTACATCCATCTGCCTTGTGCTGTGAGGTATACAAAGAAAGCATTTGTCCCATTCCTGCCATTAAAAGGAGCATAGAGAAGAATGTCTTACAGGAATAAAACAGTTACACAAAGAAAATAATAGAAAGCATTATAAGACGCTAAACTAAACAAAACTAATGACCAAAACCTATGGAACAGACAATTAGTGCTGTAGATCATGAGAAAAAAGTTTTATTTACTCATTCATTCATTTACCAGTCATTGACTGCATCCTATGTGCTTGACACAATTCAAGGTACTGGCAATACAAAGAACAAAATATACTCTTGTAAGCCCACACAGTAGTAAAAAAAGAAACACAAGTGTACTTTAAGTTCATTCTAGAAGATGGAAAAACATGACTAAAGAAATACATACTAATACCATCTGGGAATAAGTGCTATGGAGACAGAGCAACTGCAGAAAATTGATGGAAGCCGCTCTGATTATAAAATAAATGAAGAGAAATCTTGTGGAAGAGTTATTTAGGAAGAACTTGTAATACTGAATCCTTCTGCAAAGCGATAGCTATTTGTCTACTTGTTCATATTTTTATGTGCTTCAGTGGATTTTTAATTCCCTGCCCCCACTCCAGGACTGGCACAACTCTTGTTCATTTATATTTTTATTATCCTTTTTTCCTCATCTTCATCAGACTCTTATCCCTTAACCAGAGGACAGAATGCCTGTTACTGAAGTTTTGCTGTCATTCTCTCCTCCTTGGATCAGCTGGAAACATACTTCACTTACACAAGTGGTTTACTCGGAGTTGCTTCTAAGCACCAAAACAAGACATAGTGGCTTAAAATAAAATACATAGCAGCCCCATCCCTCCAATAATGCTTCTGAACATCCAGTACCCGAATCTACACTACAGTCATGACTTTTCCAAAAAAAAAAAGTTCTAGTAAACTCTCCAGAAAGGTGAAACCATGTATGATGCAGATTACTTCACTCAACTTATCTTTTCCAGTGAGATTTAATCTAACATTAGTAGTCCTGTCCTTTCTTTATCAGAGATTAATACTTGCTAGTCATTTTTTCAAAACTAAACAACTTACTGCTTAAAAATATATTTAAAGGTTTTAAAAGCAAAATCAAGGCAAGTGGCTATCTCTTGGGATAAAGGAATGTGTAACTGAAGGACAGCATACTTCAGATACTCAGCAGTATTCTTCTACCTCTTCACCAGGAGCCTAATTTTTTGTTTTGTTTTGTTTTGTTTTGTTTTCAGGAGCCTAATTTTAATTGTATAAATACTGTACTTATCTTTCTGAATTATAGCACTCACAATTAAAGAAATTTTCAAGAAAAGAATCAATTAGTTGATATGAAAGACGATTAATCAAAGCAACGGTTAACAAGAGGATATCTTCAATTTATCTAGATCAATTTATTTCAGATTCCAACAGGTCTCACTTTTCATTTGAAAAGGTAGCAAAAATTATTCTTTTAAGTCCATTTTTGATAAAATTTGTGAGTATCTACCATATGCCAGGTGCTAGCAATTTAACAATAAATTAATCACATACCAGTCACATTTTAAAAAATATGTGACAACCATTTCCATTAAATTTGAGAGCTTCGCACTCTCTTTCCCTTCCCCATCCTCTTTTTTCCCATTTCCAGTGCTGGAGACTGAACCTAGGGGGACTCATGCCCCCTTGGCAAATGCTCTACCACTGAACTACTATGCTATACCCTTAAAGAAAATTTTAAATTCTAAACACTAATAAAATTAAACATTTCTAGTCAAATGAGTCGAATACTCATTTGTCTTATTATTAATCTCATAACTGCTAATTTCAAACATTAAATTGTTCTTTTAAACATCAGAATAGTGCACTGTCCAAAAAAACGATTATATTACCCTTAAGAGTTTCCATGCAGATAACTGGCTAATATATTCTATTTAGTGAAATGAATAAAGAAAAACATTTGATACAACTCAACTTGAAATTTTTGAGTTCTACTTACTGTATTTCCTAAAATGATAAAGGGTAGAATTTGGGGTGGTTTTGTATCATGTCAAAAACATTCCATAAATTCAATCAGTCATTATTTAAAGAGTTGACCTTACATGGAAGCCAAAGAACAGAAATAATCTATTCAGCTGTATAAATTTATTTTTATTAAAATAATCATTAATATATTACTATTTTCTCTGTTAAATATAATTATTAAAACGGAAATACCCACGCAGACTAATCTGAGAATCTTTCATAACCATGAGTCGGAAGAAACTTTCCATATTATCCACTGTAATATTTCTCAAAGTTTAAGAATCACATATGCAAATTCTTAAAATGCAGATTCTAACCCAGAATGTCTGGGATAGGGCCTATAATTATTTTTATTTCTAAAAAGCTGCCAAAACTGTTTAGAATTCGGGGTGGGGATTTAGCTCAGCAGCATAAGCGCCTGTCTTGCAAGCGTGCAGTCGTGAGTTTGATCCCTGGTACAAAAAAAAAAAAATTGACTAAAAAAAAAACACTGTTTAGAATTAAAGATAATTAAATTCCAATGACTAATGAACACTGGCCTCAGACTCCCTTTATGATAGATTTCACCTTTACTATAGATCAGTAATTTTCATATGCCTGCATTTCCTCACCTATATCATATGGTTGTATGTGAGTAAATCATTCTATGGCCCATTAGTTGATTTTAACTTCAAACATTATTATTTTGCCTCATTAACAATACAGAAACCAAGACAGAGACATTTAGAAAATTACCAAAAATCACACAGCTAAGAAAGGTGAGATCTAATAGTGAGCAAATTTTAACTCCTTAAATTTTCTTAGCTGACAGTTACCTGAAGTCACAGGAAGAAAATTAAAAAATCATAAAATCATAAATAAATGCTTTCTTTTATCTAAATATTAATCTTAACAGGTCTCCTAAAGAACTAGTCAGAACACTATTTGTAATACATGTAACAAACCTCTGGCCTGCACATGTACATTTTACTAGAAAATTTATCCCAGTGTACCCTAAATGAACAATGAATTTAAGTTTCTTTTTTTTTGTGTGTGTAGGGATCAAACTCACAACTGTGCACTTGCAAGGCAAGCAAGTTGAGCTATATCCCCAGCCCATAAATTTAAGTTTCAAAGGATATCTATTTATTACTTCCCCCAGCTAGCTACATATATGAGGGTCTAGCCTTGAACTTAGGGACAAAAAGAAATAAAAAAATGATTTCTGTTTCTAAAGACTTTAGAATCAACAATGTATAGGATCATATACATCTCCTTACAAATAGAAAATAAGTAAAATAATTTGCTTTGTGATATTTTATAACTATCAAGGTATACTAACATTAATTCAGTTTATTCTCATCACAAATATTTATGATAGAAAAAGCAATGCAATAAATGCCAAGAATCAGAAATTACAGATTGCAGTTTGTCACCAATCTTCCATAAAATGTCTACAAAATTACTAAAACTTTTTGAACTAGAATTCTCAGAAAAGATCATATCTCAAGTGAAGTCTAATTGTAGATTAGTTAAGTAATTTTGCTTATAATAGCACAACTATTCAATATACTACAGAGCAAGGCCTACATTATTCTGGCTCGTGTAGAAAGTGGGGCCAAGTGGAAACAGCTGTTTGAAGGTCAACTGGAGCACAGATTAACACAACTTCCATAAAAAGGGCCTTTGACTCCAATATGTGTTTTACAATGGGAAACAGTGGGACAATGACTCTCAGAGGTAAATTAACATGGTGAATTTGAATAATACATTATGTGAAAGGGCAGCCAAACAGGGCCAAAAATTTTACAACTGATACAACCTAAGCAGTGACTAATGAAATTATATACAGCATAGGTCAAATTAAATATATATTAAGAGAGGAGCTGAGATGGCAGATCGATAAGTAGCAAGGTAAAGAGCCTCTATGAGAGAAACAGCTCAGATGCTAGAATTTTTCACCATGGAGAAGACCAGATGAAAGAAGAGGGATTCTCACAACCCAAGAAGAAACTAAGGAAAAAGAAAAACAAAAGAAAGAAAATAAAATAAATACATGGACGGAAGGCTGCTCTCACCAGAGCCGATCCGACTCACGGTTGCGGCGCTCTCGCCAAAGCCACAGCTGCACTGAAGTCAAGGGTTGGCGAGCCCAATGGAGAACAGAGCTGGCGTGGAGACCTGCACTAACCTGTGGTGAGTGCTCAGAATTTGAGCAGGAGGGGAGTGACCAACCGGATGACATATTGGAATTGGGCCGGATGGGCATGACCAAGGAACGGCAATGACTTTTGTTAGCTGCTCCCTG